GGCCCCTTCTTGTTTTCTTCACAGCGCCTTCTAGGCCCGTACTGCCTTTTGTTTTAAGAAAATTCTGATTGTGGACTAAAAAAGGAGCGAAATATGAAATAAAATTAAAATTTTTTCATAAATTGGGAAGTGTGTAGTTACTATTCATGCGGTATTCGCGCTTCAGCTCCAAGCTATATACGGAAGATACTTGGTTGTGTTGAATCCTCTTCAGTACATTATCAAAACTAATTCATATTTAAAGATAAGATAGGAAGTGAGGAGAAGGAAGGAGGGCGAAATGAAAAAAGGGGGAAGAGGAGTATAAAATTATTTGTAATTAATAAGAAATGTTTCGGTGCATTAACTCGTATACATTTCTTACCGTTACCACAACTAGACCTCGTCAGTACGACGATTGTGATGACAAATGGAATTTAGATAAAGACTTTGTGTGTGTGCGTGTGTGTGTGTGTGTGTGTGTGTGTGTGCGTGTGTGTGTGTGCAAGTTTTTAAGATAATGTTATATTAACGGTATGTTTCTAGACATTCATATTCTGCGTTTGCAGGGTGTTATTGGTTTCACATTGTCACGAGGCAAAGCAGTAATAGAGGGTGTAAGAGCAAGGCCACATGTTTGCCAATTATCACAGCTCGATCAAGGTAGGGCATCATTGCGTATGTTTAGATTCATTATTTCTAATATTTCTAAGTTTTGAAATAATATACCAACAGGATTGTACGCAAGCCATGTGTAAGGTGTTATTTTATGGTGCAGATTACCTTTATCTTGTAGATGTAGTGGGGTGATATTTTTCGATGCAGTTTTTGTGTTTCATCCCTTAGCTGTAAACACAGATCGGAATATGCATGCGGGTAGGAGTGGGAATCGTCAGTACAGCCTCCCACCCGCCAATGTATTGAAAAGACATGTAGCTAATTTGCTAGAAGAATGAGTGAAGGGAAAAGATTAAGAGAGTAAGAAGGAGAGAAACTATTTAATATCATGAAAGAAGTAGGAGTGATAGAGCAGGTGGAAGAGGAGGAAATTGAATTGAATACTGTTAGGTGCCTTCAGAATAGGCCGTTACATCTCTACACCTCCGGAACCTTCATTTTGCATTTCCGCCGGCTGCTGGCCGTTATTGAGAAAGTCTCAGAGTGGCTAATAAGTGAACTGAAACGCTACACGGATTGTGGAAGAGATGTAGTACCTTTTATATGAAAAAGATTAACTCGATACGTATTCAGTGCCAGCAAACTGATCGCTATGCGATTTAGCTTCTAGAAAAGTAAACCCTGGAGAAATTGCCTATGTATCAATGACGCGAAAGTGTTGTTGATTATTTAAAGCACCAAAATGTGCATGTATCACAATCTTCCCTGCTATTGCAGGTCTCGATGCTATTTTCTTTGTCTTCAATTTCACACAGAACAGCTTGAAAGTTATGCGTACAGGCTCAACGTACGACATACAACTCTGCAAGAATTTAGATAGGTCGTTATTTAGCATTCATTTTTTTACAGAAATATTATCTCTGGGTCTTAATATCTGGTCTCCAGACAGTCAATGTGGTAATCCCCACACGCCGAACCCAGCTATGCCAGGTCTTTCGATCCGGGCTGCATGCCTTCAGTTAGTACCCACAGTCTGTTCTATCTGTTCGATGGTTCCCGGATGATCACTTACTTTCTTATCACCGGAACTCAAATTTTCTTTATCACTTTAATCAGCTGTTGACTCGTCTTTGCTCTCGTTTCTGCCGTCGATGCATCTGTTACTCAATTTTTCTTTTTTAAGACTTCGAAATCTACAAAATTCTGTAGAGACGGCCATCTGCTGAGGTTTTTGTCTATGCAATGCAAAAACGTATTGTGAAAAAGTATCCTATGCGTAAATCCGCCAGTCCATCCGCTATTTCGGTTTGCAAGTCCACAAAAGCTATGGCTGAAATTTTAGCAAAATAGTCTGCCACTGTTGATGGGTCTTCAGATATAAAACGAATGCGCAAATCTTTTAGTTTTCACATATATGGATAAATAGAAGATATTTGGCGAGAAAGCAATTTCGAAAATCAGACAAGCTAGAAATTTTGCGTGGATATTCATTTTTGACCTAAACAACTTTAAAAGCAACTAGAGCTACTTATACGTTTACATTTTCTCTCTCCAGTTATCTTATGATTGCATAAAAATCTTTTATTCCGCTTCCATACTCATACAGTTTCCCTTAAAAAATTTGCAGGTTCATGAGCTAAACCTCGAAATAAAGCTCCATAGTAATAAAATGTTTTTCTGAAAGAAAATTCTTGACAAAGTACAAAGCAGCTTTTTCGAAATGATTGTTAAATCATGTTTCAGTTGTCCAGAAACGATCGAGCCAGCATCCTTGGAAGCGCCTCCTGGCGACAGCTCGGAACCAGCCGCTAAAGTTTGTTCTCTTTTTCATAAATATTTATAATTGATGAGAGCTGCAAATCCACATCTTCCATGAATAACTTTTCAAAATCATAAGCACCATTTTGAATCAAATTTTTTAGGGTACACCGACGGATACAAGTCTACTCGGTAAGTTGCAGAACATGCTGTTCCCGGCATCCGTAACAGGAGCACCGTATAAGGACTATATCCCTTTAAATTTTGTTGGCGGTCAATATTCAACTTCGGTACGTGAAGTCTTCGTTTGTTTTTTTTTTTTTTTTTTTTTTT